ATTATAAAATTTTCTGGCCATTCTTAGATATTCTCAGATCATTTTTTCCTAATTTCCGAAAAAGAAAATATTTTCCAACCTGTGTCTGTTGAGTGAGGACAAATGCCTGTTTCTGATAATAAATCCTCCCTTACAAACCAACTGGCCGCAGGCCGCATGGACTCAAAACCTGCTTCTGAGCAAGTTGCAAGGCTGTTTCTGACCCCTCATCTGCTCCACAGCACAAACCTGATGCCTCCTTCCTAGGTTGCTGCGCAGAGTAGCAGAGTTAGGTGTGAAGCTCTTAGAGCGGAGCCTGGACATCGTGTTAGCTGTCATCGCCACAGTGACTTTGACCAGCAGATTGCTCTGTTCAGCAGTCAACACCATCTCTGATGGCTCACAGTCCTGCAATCTCTGCAGTCCACCAAAGACCTTGACAATCCCCAGTCTTCATCTCCTAATCGTTTCTGTCTTGAGACGAGAGACATTTAGGACACTGTCTGCAGCAGCCTCCTCCGGATCCTGGCAAGCCTCTGCTCTGCCCACGCCCCATTCATGGCTTGCCCTTTACTAAAGGTCTAGGAAAGCTGGGGATTCAGCTGCGGCTGGTTAGATAACATCGTCTATCTTGCAGAGAGGGTAACTCAGGCCCACAGAAGTGAAACCGTTTTCTGAAGACATCCCTGATCAGTAGCACTGTCAGGGCTAAGGCCTACCTCCGTCAATGGGAGAAGGAAGAGATGGGCCTTCTATTCAACTTGGACTACAGAAACTCGCCACACAATGGAGCTTCCCACTCCTGGCACTGCAAGGCCAAGCCACTTCCCAAAGGCTATGTGTGCCACTTACTTTTCCTACACGCTCCAAAATGTGCCTCTGGAGTAAATCATACCCACAAAGTTACGTAGCTGGTCCAATCATTCAACAAGGCGCTAGGGCCCGGATCCATCTCTAGAGACCCCCTGGCCAGTCCCCTGCAGCCTGCCTCCTGCCACTCTTGCCATCCACCAGGAGTCACTAAGACACAGCTTAGGAGGCCCTTCCAGGACAGCTTTGGCACCTGGGCCCCAGCAATCCTCTTCTCAAATGGGCCCGAGCCTGCTTCTCGTACCTGCCTGAGCTCCTGCTGGGTCTGTCCTGCAGACAGTGGCCCTGCCGGCTGTGAAGGACACCCCTTGTCAGAGTGGGGCAGCATGTGCACACACACCTCTGTTGGCATGGACAGGAACCTGTGCCTCTGAGGTGCGGGAGGACATTGGTGTGGTCTGGGAATTGGAGACGGGCTGTGGCTCTGGGGTCTCCGCTTTCTCTCATCGCAGGCCTTTACACATTCGGGTGAGATGTCTCATCCCCCTCTTTGGGCAGATGTGATTCCACTGGACCACAGAGGCAGCTCCCAGCACTGTGGCTACTGAGAGGACCCAGGACTCTCCCTCTAAGCTGACTCGGAATTTTCTGGATTTCTTCTCAAGGCCTCATTTCTTTCTTTTGTCACTGGTCACTGTAAATGTTGGAACTGGCAAAATCGGTGCTCTCAGAGCCCAGGGCAGACACTCAGTGCCCACCCACTTGGGTCTTGGGATTCCCACTTTTATTTTCCTTTCACCCGATGAGTCTTTCTTTATGAAATCTTGGTAACAGGTACATATTTTTGTAAGTCACTCATTTCCTGTTTGGATAAGTTTGCACAGAAATCAAAAAGGGGAGGGAAGGAAAAGAGGAGGAAGGGGGAAAACAGAGAAAACGACTTCGACCCTACGATGGCCCCGGGACCCGAGGCCAGCACCTCACGCAGTTCTCAGGAGCGGCGATGCCCGCGATGTGTCGGTTAACGGGCGACTGCAGGAGCAAGACCTGGCCCTGAGCCGCACCCTTGGCCCTTGGCTGAGGGTAGAGGGAAGCACTGGGGTTTTCTCTCTGGTTCCCTAGCAGCTCCTCTGCTGAAGGGTGGGTTCAAGTCAGCGTGATTCAGTCACCCACCTTTAACGCACCCAGGCAGCACGAGGGTTTCCACGGTACAGAAGGAGGAAGCCCTGAGACAGAGGGACCCCACCTGAACCTCGGGTGCTCCACTGACTCCCAGTATCAGTTGTATGTCCACAGCAGGTTCCTGGGGGCCTCTGGCCTCTCTGGACGTGTTCTATAAACTTCTGACGTTTGTGGGCTGGGGTCGTGGCTCAGTGGTAGCACATTCGTCTGGCACGTGTGAGGCACTGGGTTCGATCCTCAGCACCACTTAAAAATAAATGAATAGAATAAAGGTCGCCTGGACATGGCCACTGTGATGAGGACCAAGTGTCAAGATGAGATGACCTACGTTTTGATGCTGCACTTGTCCATCTACAACTAAAACAAAAATTCTAGAAGATGCTACTTTTATAAAAAAAAAAAAAATCTGACATTCGGCTTCTGTGCACCCCACAGGATACAGTTTTGCTTGGGATGAGACCTTATCCTGTGGCCTGGACACGGCCACCGTGATGTGGTCCGAGAGCTCCTTAACTGGTAGAGTCACCAAAACCAAGCCAAGCCAGAGCTTCCGTGAATATCCAGGAGAGAAGCATTTTTAGAGACCAAGCAGCCACCTCCTGAGCACCCCAACACAGACACACCCCTGAAACAACCACATTTTGCTTTATTAGGTGTTCCATGGTAATATAACACAGAGTTCTTAAGGAATAATAAACACGAGACTTGTCTTTTACCATAATTATTTTGCCATTAAGACAGTGGTTACAAAAAAAAAAAACAAAAAAACAAACAAAAACAAAAGTCTCTTCTGGTTACACACATGATCAGCTTTAGCACTGAAAGGTCCTCCACTCAGGGGTCACAATCACAATCGCAAGGATTAAAAACCATCTATTATTAAGTCCTACACTGTTTTAGAGCATCAAGTCACTGCAGTTATTCAGTTCTGAGACACTGTCGATTTATTTTAGCATTTACATATGACATTCGTTTTAACAGACACACACAGCAAGCCAACAGGTAAACATGCTTACACAGCCTGCGGAAATCTTCAGATTTTAAACTGTTTTTCTTTTCTTTTCTTTTCTTTTTTTTTTTTTTTTTAAGAAAACAATCAAAACAACCAAAGTTACCATGACCTGGTACAGGGAAAACAGGAAGACAAGTGAATACTGACGAGCTGCTTGTGTTTCTTAGAATTGAAACAAAAATGTTTTCCAACTTGTTCAAATTTCCTCTAAGTGAAGGTAAGAAAGAAAAAAAAAAAGAAACAAATATATTAAGTCAACCAATTAATTTTTCAAAAGTGCAATTCACCTTTAAAATAACAAATAAACAACAACAACAACAAACCAAAACCCCGACCATAACCCCGAAGGCAAAACGTGTGGATAGACAAGCGTCAAGATGTGAAGACCTACGTTTTGATGTTGCACTTGACAAAAGCAGATTTGGTTTCATAGAAGCCTGCAGACCTGACATTGCTTACAAGGACCTGGAAACAGGTTTGAAAAGAAATGCGACACAAGTCAGCAGGGACAGAAAGCAGCCAGCTAGTGTAGGGGGGGTCTCTGAGCCAAGGGAAGGGAGGAGTGTGAGACACGAGGCCACCGTGGTCTAAGTGGGCCACATGCTGGACTTGAAAGGTTTTCTCCCACAATAGCCCTGATGTGACATACAATACATACAACAGTTTTCTTAACTCTTGCAAAGTGAACAGGTCTTGAAGTCAAAGTTCCAAGGGATTTTCTGGGTTGACAAGTTCTCCCTATGTTGCATTACATCTTTTGAAATAATTGAACGGGAAAAAAAAAAAATGGTCTTTCCCCCTAAGGGAAAAGGCCCAATATAGTCTAGAAACTTTCCAGGAGAAAAAAGATCTGACCCTCAGGGCCAGACTCCCATGGGCAAGGCCCCTCTAAGGTGGTAGATGGCTTGCGGTTGGCTGGTTCACCGGGTTACTGGGTTGGATTTATGGATTGGGCCAGTTAGCTCTGCATTTTTCTCCAATGCTCGGCTCTGCGTGGCTCCATACTGGGCCCGTCCTGGACAGCGTGGGTGAGAACCCAGCCCATCCCTGCACCTGGTAAGAGTCTCAAAGTCAGACACACCTCCTCGTGACGGTGGGCGGGTAGCACCACTCTTCCAGGACCAGGATAACATGTACTACGGTCACAAGGGCAAAGCTCAAGTCCTGCTGGACAGGTTCTGGCCTCAGTAAAACTGTTACCCTGGCAATCGGAAAAGACAACGGGGACAGGGGGAAAAATACCATCTCAGAGACAAGGGCCGGAGGAAACATGGAGAAAGAGCCAGATGTCTGAAGGTACTCATGACTGACAACACTAGAGAGAGAGAGAGAGAGAGAGAGAGAGAAAGAGAGAGAGAGGGAGCGCAGAAAAATGGCAAAGAGAATCCTCAAAAGATCTAATCTGCTGCAAAATCTAGGCCCAAAAAGAAAACTTGCCCTTTCTCAACAGTTGACCCAGAAGATTACAGAATGGCGATGTGGACACTTTGGAGCCTCTCAGGAGGGACAAAGCGAGTCTGCCAACCACCCTGAGTCAGCATGATGGTTATATAATTGCATCATTAGGATGTCCAGTTCAAACCCTGTGTGTTAATATTGAATCAGACTTTCCAATTTAGTATTAAAAAAAAAAAAAAAGAAAAAAACTCAAGCCCACCCCCAACCCCCCCCCACCCCCACCAAAAAAAAAAAAAAAAACTTTTTAAAAAATTTAAAAAGAAAAGAAAAAAAGGCAGCTCTGGGCAATTCACTGTATCTCCCCCCATGACAGATGAGAAAGATGCTGACAGGCACAGGGGGGCGCCGTGGAGGGGCGCCCTCGCTGGGGTCTGCTTTGTAGCATGTCTGAGTGTTGGGTGCAGCTCCGTGTGGGGACGGGTGGCTAGGCTTGGGTGTGGTACTCATGTACAGGGATGTAGGTGACAAATTCGTAACTCCAAGTGAGAGACGGAGTGCAGGGCCCAAAAGGGAGCCCCATGAACTGGCTGCCCACAGCAACTATCACAGGCTCTTTAAAAAAAAAAAAAAAAAAAAGAGGAAGAAGAAGAAGAAGGAGAAGGAGAAGGAAGGAAGTCTCAGAATGTCCTCAGGTGTCCCATCCCCCATTCCCAAGTGGCCTGCAGGCCAGAGCTCTAGCCCAGGCTGGTGATGTTGGCACGGCCACCAGGGGGCGCCACGATGCGCTGGGTGGTACGGCGGGGGATGTTGTCATCAATCTGAGCGCCTGGAGGGAAGGGGAGAGAAGACCGGGGTGAGGGGACACAGCAGTAAAACAGTCTCCTGCTTTAAACCCAAAAAGCAGTCTAGAAGGGGTGCCGGGCACAGCCTTCTCCGTTTTTTTTTTTTTTAAAACATGAGCTCAAACCCCAAAAAGGAGATGGACCAAAGTTAGCCCAAGAATTACATCCAGGACAAGCAGTCCTCGTGGGAGCCTGGCTGGATCCATTAGTGGGGAAGTAAAACCACAGATAAGAACCCGACATTTCACCCTGCAGCCTGTCCTGGTTCCTAGCAGGGGCAGCTTTTCTGAGGATACAGCAATCTCCCCCTCTGGTATCGTGTTTCCTAGTCCTACACACGCAATGAGGAGCAGGAACACAGGAGCATCTGGGATCCAAAATCCCAAATCCGAAACACTCCCAAATCTGAAACTTTTTGAAAGTCCACGTGACCTCACTAGTGGACAGTTCCCCAGCTGGCCTCGTGTGGGGGCTGCAGTCAGAACACATGCACTCTAAAATAGCACATAGAATTTCCTTCTGATCGTGGATGGTAGATACAAAACACGAATGAACTTCATGTTTAAACTCGGGGCCAATCCCCAAGATATTTCATTATGTCTATGCAAGTATCCCCAATATTTAAAAAAAAAACCTGAAATTTGAAACACTTCTCATTCCAAGTACTTGGGATGAGGGACCTGCACTTTTATATGACTGCATGACAAAAATAAGGTTCATTCTTTAAACTTTTTGAAAATGGGTAATCTATATATGGCCTATATGGCAATTTTCTAGAAAAAAAAAAAAAGAGACCTGACAAGAAAAACATCTAATGAGTTATTTCTTTAACATATCGCAGGACTCTGGAGGGTGGGAAGCTCTGGTCACGGGCCCAATGAAAGAGGGGAAGGAAGTTTCAAGGAAGGAAACCTTAAAATCTAGACCTTTCCTCTCACCAAGGGAATATCACATATTTTATCCCAGCAAATAGCTAACAGCTCTCCAATGGCTCTGATCTAAGCATTTTGGTCGAACGTCAACTCAACTGATCCTCACAATTCCATAAGGGAGCTGCTACCACAGTCCCTGTTCCACAGAAGAGGAGATTGAGGCACACGTGGAGCTGGGCTATCGAGTTTGCTCCACACTCCGGGACTACTCCCCCTGAAATATCAGTGTCCTTCCTGAGGATGGATACAACTAAAAAAATGTCCTTGCCATCTATTAGACCCTGGACCTAGGAGGGGCCTGGTAGTGCCACATGTGGCATAAACTAATGTGGAGATTCTGAAATCAACTGGTCACTGACAATAAAGATGCATCTCTGATGACAGGAGTGTGTCCCACCTCCAAATGCAACTGTAACCTCGCGGAGCTGGGCTGCGGCGCTGGCCTGCGGAGGGGCCCCTGGGCAGGCTGGGAACCTACCAGACAAGCTGAATCCAGACTGGTGCAGGTTCCGGACAGGCGGGGCCTGCTGTTTGGCGGGAGACGTCTTGGCTGAGGAGGCTGGAGTGACCGTCTTGGGCGTCACGGACACCTCGCACACAGGTCCGTCATACAGGCCGCGAGGGACTCCTCTTAACTCTGCCAGCTGCAAAACACAAGAGCCCCTCTGCTCAGGCCACATCACGAGGACACCTCCCCTGCTGGGAAGGAACATGATGGCCTGGAGCCTAGGCGTGGGGAGATGGAGGACTTTCCTTACAGACGGGAACAACAGGGACTCATGTGGCAGAGGATCCCGCAGCTCCAGGCCCAGCTCCCCGAGGCGGGCTACAGGTAACTGGTTATTCCACAGTAACTAACATTTTTTAGATTTCTTCCCAAGGCACCTCAACCTCAGACCCTGGAAGAGTCCCCTAAACTTACAATGTCATGTCCAAGATCTGCCCCAAGCTCTTTTCCAATCTCTCTCTTCCTGTAATTCTCATAGGGCTCCATCCTTCCCTGCCTCCCAGTCCCCAAGCACCAGCTGTGCCCCAGACACGGTCATGACAGCCTCCCTCTCCAGTTCCTGCACCTCCCTTCTCTGACTTGATAAACTCCTACTTCACCTTCAAAACCCAACTCGAAATGCCCCCTCCCAGGACACCTTCCCTCCTCTGGGCTCCCGGCAGCTCCTCGCCACAGCACACGCTGCAGGACCACAGGGCGGCACACCTGCCCTGGCTGGCTCTGAGCAGACCTGACTTCTCCACCCGGACCTCCAGCACCAGGAATAAGAAGATCAGGTCTCCTCAGCCCCACGTCCCTCTGTGCTCGTCCCAGGATTCTGACGTCAGTGCTTCCTAAATGTCGGTGGAACTGAACTTAATCCAAGACTTAAAAAAAAAGAAAAGAAATTCCTAAGAACAAAAGCACTTACCCTGCTCCTTGCCTTGATGCGCTTGTAAACAAAGTCGGGGAAGGGCTTCCGGGGAACGTAGCGCCCTGAGCCCTCGGTGACGTGCAGAGTGCCGTCCTCCAGGACAATCTTCCCCTGGCTGATGACCACCAGAGGGGAGCCCCGGCACTCCATGCCCTCGAAGATGTTGTACTCCAGAGACTGCAAGAGGGGAGCACGGGAAGTTCAGAGCAGGCCCCGGGGCATGAAAGGTCTCTTGCCACCTTCTCCGGCAGGGCAGCCCCGCCTCTCACTGACCCTCTAGGCCCAGGCTGGGCTGCGTGGCCCAGCATTTTGACGGGCATCTCCTACGAGACTTCTCCTGTTGGCTCTCCTCCTTCATCAACTAAGGGACTCTCTTACCACCCATGGTATCTCAGCCACAGTGACACCCAGGAGCTGTGTGACTCTGGGCTAGGTCACTTTAACCCTGCCTCAGAGCTTTGGTCTCTTCATCTGTCACCTTCCCAAGTCTTCAGTGACAATGACAACACAGAAGGTTTCATCCCTGTGTAGTTCGTCAGAGAACCCTGACATCTGTGAAACACCCTTCAGAAGGTGTGTGTCACCCTGGGTCAAGCCATCCACGTTATCCCACAGCCCCGTCTAATACCTCTGCTTGAACCCTCCCAGACAGAGACTGGACACAGGGCCATCCTCCTGGGTCCCCACAGCTGTGTGAACCTGGACAAGTCCCTGACACCTTCCTCGTCCACAAGTGGCTAAGACCCCCTTCCAAGGACAGAGGCCCAGAGCAAATGAAATGAAAGCAGCTGTCTGGGGCTTTGCCTACCAGGGTGTGAGCCCTTTGGCATCCAAGGCCTCATGTGACACTTGTACTAAGCCTTGTCACCTAGGAATGAGCCCCTGGAAGATCTCTGGGGACATCTCACTTTCAAATGATAGAGGGAGGGAACCAGCACCACGGCTCAAAGTACTTAAAACCGAAGCATCCCGGGGTGGGTCACAGCACTGGGTACTCAGCCCTTCGGGCACCTGTAGGCAGGGGCTCCGATACGCGATATCCACACAGCTCCCCAAAACCCACGCTCATTGCTCCGTGGTAGGAGACACACAGTGACACAGGGTAAACCTCCTGCTGTGACTAATGACACACGGCATGCTGAGGGCCGGGGCTGCGAGGCAGGTGAGGGCAGAAGAGAGGCGATCTGAAAACCGCTGTTTCCCCACGGGGTCACCTGCAGGAAAGGCAGGGCAGTGCTGACCCTCTAACAGGTCTGACTGGGAACGGACGGAGCCCGGCCTCTGTCTTCCTGAGGCTCATCCTCCAAGGTCCAGAGGGAGCACGCCAGAGTGGAGTCCCCAGGTCACCCGACCTCTAGCCAGGACCCTGTCTGCTCTTTCCATTGCCTCTGGGGGAGGGACTGTGCGCGGGAGGGAAGCACTGTCTCCATCGACCCTGACCGCGGGCTGCGTGCTCAGCCTGACAGTGAAGGGTCCTGGACGATGTTCAGTTCCAATTCTGGCTCAACTGCAAAATCCCCGTGTGACATAGACCAGTCACTTCCACTCTCAAGGCCTCCATCTATTTATCTTCCCTCGTGGGGTGAGAAAACGCCCTTTACTGGGGGTCACATGACAGAGCAGGCAGGAGTGCCAAGCTAGGTGCCCAAGGATACGTAGGTTCCCCAGAGGGGGTCACTCAGCACCCAGGCGGGATCGAGGCTGGAAGTGGGCCAGCCAACGGGGACAGAGGGAAGGAAAGGCAGCCCCACACATGGCCTGGAGCCCGCCTCGCCGCAGCCCCAGAACCTCTGTCCAAGTGAGGGGTTTGGATCCAGCTAAGGGCCCCAGCCTGTCCTGGAGAGATGACAGAATCCCATCCCCGTGATGCGGGGCACTCGGGTGGGGTCCGTGCTGGCTAGATCAACTAGAACCGGTCCACTGGAGCCAACAGCTCTCCACCTAGAACTGCACCCAGAACCTCCTCTTGTTTCGTTAAGGAAGCACTTTTTCAAGATTCAAGTGAGGTCCTGAGAAGACACTTCGGCCAGAGGCACCCTTCTTTCCCACAGCTCGCCTGGCCCATGCTCTCTCGATTTTACACACAGGTGATTTTTACAGAGGAACTGTGCTCATGCCCACTGCCCCACAGCATCACAGGACACACAGACCTCAGCTGCTGCGGAGACCGAGACCTTTAGAGACAGCACATTCCCAAGCTCGAGGGCCTAACTGAGAGGCGAGAGCCCCCCACACGTGCAGGTCCCAACCACCATCCAACGGCTGCACGTATCTCTTCTCTTTGGGGCGAAGTCGAGGTTGATCGATTCACTTAGGACAGTAAAACCAGCTGCCATTTTCCGTCAGGTTCCGGGGTAACACCACCCCCACAGAAAACAATGGCATGTGAAAATTAAAGTGCCCGGTGACTCTCAGGACTGTACAGTGACTGTTCTATTCAGGTCCCTGGCACCAAGCACCAGCAAAAGAGGTGCTGCCCCAAACCATGATGCTGGAATGATGCCCAACTTCTAGAAGCTTCTAAGGATCCAATGTCACCTTGGGGATGCTGAAGGTAAAGCCGCGGTACTCTAAAATGTGGGTGAGAGTAACATTCTTAATGACTTCACTGAAGAAAGTGAAATGGCTTTTTTCTTTTTGTTTGCTCCCTCAGCAAATTTCAAGTTATCACACATCCTGGGGAAAATTCATTCCCAGCACAGCAAGTTCTCTTTACAGCCCCTGGGCCTCTCCCTTCCTCTGCCCCTTGTGTGCCTGTAAGCCATGTGGATGAGGTGTGAGGCTTACACTGTTATGTGTCTTCGCAGAGATGGTTTTGATGCTGTCAGGGTCCCAGATGACCAGATCGGCGTCAGATCCCACAGCGATGCGGCCTTTCCGGGGGTAAAGGTTAAAGACTTTGGCTGCATTGGTGCTGGTTACAGCCACAAACTGGTTCTCGTCCATCTTCCCAGTGACCTGAGGGGCAGAGCACACACAACAGCAGGTCAGAGAGCTGCAAGGTGGGATGCTATCCAGCACAGAGAAGGGACATGCCATTGGAACACAGAGGTTGCATGTGCCTCTCAACAAATGAGAGGTGCAGCTGGGTGTACACGCCTGCAATCCCAACGGCTCCAGAAGCTGAGGCAGGAGGATTGCGAGTTCAAAGCCTGCCTCTAAGCAAATAGTAAGGCACTAAGCAACTCAGTGAGACCCTCTCTCTAAATAAAATACAAAATAAGGCTGGGGATGTGGCTCAGTAGCCAAGTGCCCCTGAGTTCAATACCTGGTACCAAAAAAAAGGAGAGGGAGAGAGGCATAGACGTCGCCTTGCATCTAATCTACCTGCAGGTCTCAGCTCTGCCTCTGGCTCCACAGTATACAGTAGGCGCCAATCACATTAGCTCAAGTCCTTTCCTTTCCAAATCTGTTCTAAATTCAGTACAACAATGGGCACAGGAAATGATCATGCAGCAAGAGAGAGTAAAAAAGGTACGAATGGCCAAAAAGCACACAAAAGAATATTCACTCTAATCAGTAGCTGAAGAAATTAAAGGTCAAACAATGAGACTCAACATTCACCTATCAAATCAGTACTACTTTGAGCTTTTGGCTCATAGTACCCATTTGGACATGGAGAAAACACTGGGGGATGTCACACATTACTGGTTGCACATAAAGGGGTTCAATCTTCCTAGAAAGAATGCTAACAATAATACGTATCAACAGCCTTAAAAATGCACACACCCTTTTCCCTACAAACATTATTAAGGATGTGTCCAAGGATGTGTCTACATGGACGCCCATCCCGGTAAAAAATATCAGAAACAACAGAAATGTTCAAAGCATTGCCAGTGAATCACCATTTAGCACCAGATGGAAAAGTCTGCTATCAAAAACCAAGTGCATTTAAGAATGTGGAAACTTTTTCATGGTATATTAAAACTGCCCAAAAAACAGATCTCAAAATACTATGCATGATGCTAATGTTATTGACACACTCTCACATAACATGCGTAACCGTGCACTTAAGCACTCCCTAAAAATGGAAAGGCACTTGCTAGCATGCTCCCTGTAGTTGGGTCTGAAACAAGGTGATTTTTATTTACAGAATCTAAAAATTCATCAAGAAAAAGAAAACCTGTTGCTGTTACATTTTAAAACATTAAAATGAAACAGACCAAAGATTCCCCAAAGCTCAGTGCCTCTTCAAACTGGGCATTCCAGAAGCCTGAGGTGGGACAGAAATGCTAAATCCAGACAGCCTTCAGAGAGCCCATTTCCAGCGGGACAAGAGCTAGCTGACTGAGTCACCAGGTGGCTGAGGAAGTTCTCTCCTGACGGGCACAGAAGTCATATGTTTTCAGGCTCCGCTGTCCCAGAGATGGTGATAAGAGACGTGTAATATTTAAGGTGAAGTGACCTTTCAGGAGTAGTCATGGAGACTACTCCTACTTGTGTAGGAGACCGCCACACAAGAACCAGCTTCTAGAATGTTCTCGACCAGCATCTCAAGTCCATGCCTGCAGATGAGGAGGCAGGGGAGCACCGAGGCGCACCATGAGTGGGGCCCTTGGTCCTTACCACAGCCTTGTCCCAGATGACGGACATCCGCTCCTCCGTGCCGTTGGTGCCCTCGGGAATCAGGGTGAAGTTGTCCTTTCCTACGGCTTTCTGGGCAGTGTTGAAAGTGCAGTGGGCACTGCCAGTGACCTGGAGGTCTCCACTGGAAGGAAACATATAATCGGATAACACTGTGCCCAGTCTGTCCTTTGAGGAATCTGGGGGAACTCGTGGCACCAGAGAATCAGAACACCCAGGGCTCAGTCCAACAACACTAAAGAGTATGGAGGCCACCTTCACCAGGGGACACTCGCCGGCAGCCCACCAGCACTCTCCTCAGGCCTCCAAGGAGATGGCATCCTCGATGCACAGATGAGACAACCTGTGGTCAGGGAGGTCAAGTCCTGCAGCCAAAGAGGGGTCTTCAGACACCAACTCATGTCCCATGGCTGAATGTCACGATGGCCCAGCTTTTGATCAGGAACACCCTCCAGGGACAGTGACACAATGACAATTCCTTGTTCGCATCTATCAACCCCAGTTTGGTGCATGCATAAGGGTCTATTTCCAAGCCTGCTCTGGGCCACCGCATGGTCACCTGCAGGTCAGCTTGGCCTGAGGAGTCAGAGAACGTGGAGTGTGAGCAGGGGGCCAGGACTCACCAGGACAGCAGGGAGTTGAGAAAGTCTGGAGTGGTTGGATCCGGGCTCAGGGGTGGCGAGGTGACAAAGGCAGCGGCCTTGGCCCAGTTCTTGCTCCAGTAGTGAGAGCCGTCAGTCCCCAAGCTGGCGGTGATGGGCTCGCCGTACACCACAGTTCCTGAGGGTCAGAACACACGTGGCTCAGTCAGACAGGAGGAGGAGTGGGGCCACCTTCACTGGGGGACACTGGCAGCCCCCACTGCTCTCACCAGCCCTGTGAAGGAGACGGCAGCCTTGCCACAGGTGAGGCAATGCCTGCCAGGGAGGCCACGTCCCTCATCTGGCCAAAGCCACCTCTAGGGCATGTGCTCCCGGGAATTTCCTGTGAACGCCCCTGTGAAGCCTGCGCACTGTCCCCTGGTGGTCCCAAACAGCCCCCAGGCTTCTGCCTCCCACGCCTGCTCCCAAGCTCCGGGAACAATCTCCAGCTCACTTGGCTTCAAGCACCCCGCCCCAAGTGCCACCTCGGCTCTTCTTGGATGCACTCGAACGTGCCCTTGGGGCTCAGCAAGCGCCCTCTCCACTCACACGTGCCGGTGCCCTGCCCTGTCTAGTTCTGTTGCAAGGCCAGCGAGAGGAAATCACCCAGGACAGGACGAGCCGGAGCCCTGGACAGCAAACACACCACCTCCAGACCTCCCGAGAGGAAGCCTGGACCCACCCGGGTGGCCACGTGAGGGGAGCTGCCCATGTCAGCTGCCACACCCATGGCCGACTTTGGTGGAGCGGCCACAGCCACACTAGTGCGGTCTCAGAGCTTCCAAAGCCTTGGCGGATTTGCTACAATGTCCAAGAAAGAACGCCAGCTCCTGCTGCCCAAGTCCTGTCCCCAACCCTGTCAATGCAGAGCCAGCCAGGGTGTTGGGAGTCATTTATATACACGGGAGGGCAAACCGTTAGTGCCCGAAGCACAAAAATTTTAAAAATTAAAAAATAAAAATAAATAAAAACCACTCCTCACTGAAACATCCACTGCCCTCACTATCCAAAGATCGCCCCTTTGACACCATGCCAAGAACAACTCGGCCTCACACCATCTGCCCCACAATCCCATCCTCCGCTCCACTGAACGCCCAGTTTTGAATTTTTTTGACTCCTCTCAAATGGCGACACATTGAAGGCAATTTATTCATCTGCACAGAGTAGGCACTCAAAAACTACACGTTAGATGGGTCAAAAGGCCCAATCATGTTTTAATTAAAGGCATCACAGGCGGAATGTGAGCTCAGCCAGCCACATCCACCTCTCCTACCGCAGGGTTCGCGCCCCCACCCACATCGGCCAGCCTAGATTCCCTTCTCCCCAAACCCAGGGCCCCGTCAGGAATGCGCTTCCCTCCCTCTCCACAGCTCCCAAAGCCTTATCACCAGATAATATTCCCCAGCACCCTCTTTGCCCGCCACTCGGAGCTGGCTCGGAGGAGCTGCCCCCTCCTGCCTCAGGAATTCCACAAAGAAGTCGCTGTTCAGCCGGGAGCGGTGGAGGCCCCGGGCAACCAGTCCCAGTCCCAAGCAGGAGGAGGGACCCCAGGACCAGGGGGCCTGCCCAGAAGAAAGCCCCCAGGAAGAAGAGTGCCACTCAGGACGACTGGAAGGGACCCTGCCTTCCTGATCCACTCAAGGACTCCCCAGAAGCTGGTGCAGAGAGCCCCCTCAGCTCACCCCAAAGCAGAAAAACAGCCTACGTGACAAGGACTGTCACAGCCAAGGTCCTTCACCAGATGCCACAGCTGACCAGGACCCAGGGGCAGCCTCTCACAGGACCTCCGCTCCCAGCTTTGGGGTGGTGCATCCAAAAGATCTTGTTAAGTCTAACTTGATCTGGTTAAGTCTCACTCTCCCGGCCCAGCCAGGTCTGGACGTCCCACCTACTGCTGCCTGCCTGTCTGAGCCCAAAGGTGACATCTGTGTAAGCCCTAGGAACACCAAGGATTCACAGTCCTAAAGGTCTTCTGGTTCTATCCCCAAGGCTGTGAGAAAGTTCATGAGAGAAAGGGTGCTTGGAGTAATAAAAACCAACCCAACCACCAGTAAAAACCATGGTCGGAGGGCCTGGAGGTCCCTGGACCAATGCCCACCTTTCCCAGGTTCCACGTAACTTGTCGTGACTCATCCTCTCACTGAATTTGCTGCTCAGTCCTGCCCTTGGAAACTGAGCACCGGGAGGGGACGGTGCTAGGAGCGCTGGCTTCATCTCTCCCTGCGAAACACCACTCGGGCTGGGGTAGGGAGCTGCTCAAAGGTCTCTTCCTTCAGCACCCAGGACACCCACCTCACAAGAGAACAAACTCAGCCTTCAGCCTCTGGAAACCTCTTCACTTGATGGTTGGGGCTCCCAAGGCCCCTGCTGACCAGAGCCTCCCTGCTTAGACCAGGAATAAGCAAGGACTCCTAAACCTGAGCCAAACCAAGATGGCGGCAGCATGGACAAGAAAGGGGGCACTAAGAGAAAAGGGGAGCCTCTGGAGGGTCATTTCTGCTTTGTTCTGTTCTAATTCACTGAGGGATTCAGAGGTTCTTGCTGTCTTTGGACTTTATTTCTGTTCTTCAGTTCCAAAGGCAGGGCAGGGATTAACTACCAGTCCAAGGCCTCCACCTCCAGGCAGCATGGGTCTACAGAATGAGGCTGTCCCCAGTGGCCTGGTGCCTCCCCCAGGGCTCCTCTCCCCATTCTCTAAACAGCGTGCACGAGGAGCGCTGAATGAGCTTCCGGAGCTCAGTCAGGCCACGGACACCAGGGAGCTTGCATGCCAGAAATAATTGCCACTCATAATAATAAACCACAGAATGGCTTAATCGGCCTTTCTGCACTTCTCTAAACACACGGCTGACGCTTTCTTGGCGGCCCTCGGAGCTTCATGATTTTCTTCTCCAGGGAAAGTCTAAACTGAAGGATGTGACCCCAAGCCAGCCTCTGGCAGGCTCACTCGTAACCCTGGGAAATGCAGGGACTCATAGGGGACACACGGGTGGTGTTTGTTCACAACCAGCCTGGGGCCAGGGTGCCTTCGTGAAGAATAAATGCAAGGTTGGGGTTTAAAAATGTTTGACAGCTCCTGGCTCCTACAGTTCATCATTCCCCATGAATGAGAAGCAGGAGGACAAATCCAAAGTAGGAACAATGGAAGATCACATGTATGTATAACTCAGAATGCAGCACAAGAGAGACAGAAAAGAGCCTGGGACGGAAAGACAGAGGGACAGGCACACACCACACACACATACACACACACCAGATTTGCTCTTTCAGAGAACCCATGCCGCACCCATCAGCCTTGGGACCGTGCTATCAGATTTTGGTACTAAGAGTGGTTCTGGGGAAACAAAAATCTCAAGACTGAGTTTTCAGGATGGCTTCTGAGGTTGTTGGAATTGGTTTTCTAATCCTATTCAAATTAAAAGCCTTAAGGTTTCTATTTCCAGTAAAGACAGCCCTTGCCGTCGATGGCACAATGGGTCGATAGATACACAAAATCCGACTCCTGATGCTCCCTATCAACACTTCTAAGAGGCAAGATTCTGGGCGACACTGTAGAACATTTTTGTCAAACTGACAAAATGTCATGAGACTGACTGTTGCTCTTAATGGTGCTGGAACCAAGTGGGGAAAGAAAACAATGGATTCAGGGGTTCAAATTCCCACATCAAGCACCACATAAATGGCCTAAAAGAGACTCCTAAGTCTCACAGATGCAGAAGTGAGATGGCTGAAAATCAAAAGCAGGATCCAGCTGAATTAGAATGCAAACTGAATTCTCGCCAAAAGGGCACGAGTTGTTCAAAGGAGAGAGTGTTGACCCAGAAGGGCTCATCTCTGGACAGCCTGTGGACTCGGGTCAAAACCTCCTCCCTGGGGTCTCCAGCCTGCTAGCCCACCCTGTAGGCTTCAGACTTGCCAGCCCCACACTTGCATGAGCCAATTCCTTAAAATAGGTCTGTCTCCATCCCCCACCCCCTTTGGTTCTGTTTCTCTGGATAATCCTGACTAATCCAGACTTTGGTAAATTTTATTTCACAACCCAACCCACCCGCCACTCTCAGTTCTAATTCCAGGTTGCTGTGTGGTGCACTAGCTGAGCCCTAAGGGTTCATCGCAAGCTGAGGGGGTCCTCCCGATGCCCGAGCACACCTATTGGCCTGCAGGGCGTAAGAACTCTTGTCCTGAATCAGAGTTCCCAGGGCTTAAAAGCCCTCAGCAGCCACAGCTGAGTGTGTCTGCCTCTGGGCTCTGGGGGTGGTTTGAGGAGGAAGAAAAAATAGCAAGTCCACAAATGACGTCACTGGGCACCGCCCACGGGCCGCCATTCACCTGTGAAATCTGCCATTCACACACCAGTTTTCACATAGTGACAAAGGCAGTCGGAAGGAGACCATTCTAGGAGAGAAAGACCCACAGTGAACCCCTTGGACAGAAAGATGCCGGGGAGTTTGGAGCTACTTCCCCCAGACCCCATGATCTGGGGTAAGATTCAATTTCTGCCTTCTGGTTCCTCTTCCAGGAAACAAAGCATTAAACTGACCAGTGTCTGAGATCCTTTCAAGCACAAAAACTGTCCCAGACATTCTGGTCCTCGCTGTGCTTTCATTTCCTAATCTGCAAAATGGGTTGATGCCATCTGTCCTGCTATGGCCTGGCACAGAAGGATGGAGGCAGCCAGTGTCCTGGAAAGACGGGCTCAGTCGGGTCGGGTCAGGCCAGCAGGGGAGAAAACAGTCCTCACTGATGTTCATCTCAGCGTCTCCCTTTTATCTCAGATCCTCACTTTCCTAAACATCTAGACACACAGACGGCGTAAAGGACCACAGGGGACACGGGAGACACCAAGGTACAGGGGCTCACGAGAGAAGCACCTGTCACTGCTGGTTATGAGTTATCTTCTGCCCACACCTGTAGAGAAATTCTGAGTTCTGGCCCCCTGAGGCTCGGTGTAGGTCCCCAGCCCTGCTTGGCTTATACCTCCTCGATAGCACTGACCACATCCCACGGTCACTTTATGGTCAAGAGTCCCTTTCCTACTGGTGAAGGAGCTGGCTGAGGCTTGGGATGGTGTCTTGTCCCTGATACCTAGACCTAAAGTATCACAGAGGAAAAGTTTGCTGAAGGAAAAAAAAAATCTCCATTTCACAGATGAAGGAGTGGAATGGCTGAAGCCTCAGACCTCAGACCTCAGACCTGGGGGCCAGAAGAACCCTCCGAGGCAGAAAAGCAATCCTTAGCAGAAAACCTTTGCCCCGAGTTGGCAGTGTCTTTCCTCTGCTTGCCTAACAAGTCTGAGGATAAAGCAGCCCTTCATTCTCTCATCCTGAGGATAACTGGTAGACGTTATTATACACACCTTTACCTACATGATCACATTTAAACGGCATCATTGCCCCATGAGATGGGTGATGATGACTACCCTCCCCTTGCAGGTGGGAGGAGGTTGCATGGGAATCCTTGCTTCCACATTCCCCAAGCTTCTGCCAGGTGTCAGGCTCCAGTTTCTACCAGGTTCTTGAGGAGGGAAGCCCCAGCACAGGGAGACCACAGCATTTCCCAGTCTAACATAATCTCCAAGTGTGCAGGTAAGTCAGTCAAACATTAACGTGGAGATCCGTGGGCTGAAGTTAGACGCCTGGCAATCAAGCCCCAGTTCCACACTTTAATAGCCCTGACCTTGTTGACTCAGCTGCAAAGGAAAACAAAATATAAAAGTTGCTGCCTGAGCTGCCTCCTGAAGTTGTCAGGGAGTCCCAACAAGGTGGAAAGAACTTTAATGGCCGGTTCCTGTCCTGCTCGTTAGCACCCAAGAACACTGAAATTCCTTCCAGCAGCTCAGGTCTAACACGAAGGCTTTCAAGGACTAAAAGGGTGACAAGTCCGAATGCAAAAGCCACGTTGGCAACCATGGTGTGGGTACAGCTGGACTGATCCTGGGAGGTTCTGGAACTAGAAAAGACTGAAATCGTTCCCTTGGGTGCTCACCCCGCAGACACACACAGAGCTGAAAGTTAGTGGAACAATAGAGGGCACCAGCCCCCTGGATGCTTCAGTAACACTCCAGACCCTCATTTAGATGAGAAGACTCAGGTACAGAAAGAAAGGGCTTTAGCATTGCTCAGGGGGCTGGTCCCCCAAGACCACCAGCCCTGACTGCAGGCTGGTGAGGGTCCACACGGTCCATGCTCCGGTCTGGGCAGGTGAGTGTCTGAATTCAGGTACACACCAGATAACAGGGCCGCAAATCAAGATTATTTTAAACTGTTTGCCTGACTGGTGAATCATCATCATCCAGGCACAGAATAATTGATAAAAGATACAAAAGTCAACTGCCCTCTAGATTCTCCTTTTTGGACACTGTGTGAATAGCCCCCACGCTACATGGTACTGCGACAGGTGATCAGTGTTGTGGCTGAGCCCCACCTGGCCGTCGCGAAAATGTGTGTCTGGGCGATGAAGACATCATCCGCAAGGTCTCCTTGGGTGGATTATATTACGTCTGAGGAGATCATATCACTTTAGGGGAATGCTGACTGCAAAAAAGCAATTCCTTGAACCTGCCAGGAGAGGGCAGGTTCCCAAGAACGCACCAGCACAGCCACCACTTGAGAGCCCCGGAGAGCTCCCAAGCACAGGGGCTGGGAATTGCTGGGTCTGAGCAGGCAGTGCTAGGTCCATCTGGAAGCCATCTCCTGGGACCAGCTGACTTAGTGGTCATTGAGCAATTTGTTCTGGGGCTTGTATGAAGTCACCCACCAGTGAGACAAATCCCACAGCCCTCCCCGATCTGTGTGGATCACCTTCCTCGGGGAAGGGGAAACGGAGCGGCAGAGGTCCAAGTGCTCCCTACCGACAGAAACAGAGAGAGACACAGGTACAGACAGAGACTAAGAGAAAGAGAGGCTGGGAAAGACAAGACCAAGTCAAGAGAAAATTAGAAATGGGCAGGTAGAGAGGCAAGCGGTAGGGAGAGAGAGAGAAAAGCTAGGAAGAAGGGGCTCCTTTTCTCATGTTCATTTCAGATCAGACTAAGATCCACCCTCAAAGCCAACTCTGGGCTCCCAGGCTCCCTGTGTGAGGAGCGAGCTCCCTGAAGCTGGGGACAACAGGTCTCTGCTGCATTCATTATGCATAAGACGCTCCACACAAGGAAGCGTCCCCTGAGGGAAGCACTGGAAGCTGCACTCAATGAATTAGTTTCCAGAGCCTGCTCAATGACGCCCTAGTATGAGCAGAGAGCCAGCCTTGGCCAGGATGCACCCATAGTTTATTAAAGGGGTGGGGGTGTACTCAAGCCCAGGATCTTATCGGGGCAGAAAGGCACCCCTGCCCAGCATGAGGCTTTGTGACCTACCCCGCCAAGATCACCAGCCTCGGAGGGGAGACACCTTTGCAAAGTAACGTTCCCCAGAAAGGCTCTCTAGCAAATGAAAAATGACGTCACCCACGTATGTGCCTAGTTTATTTAGACCACATCAAACTAAATCCCACTTTTCTACAGGGCGGGGGGCGCCCACCGGCTGTGGCTTTAAATAGATAAGAACAAGGCCGCGGCAGAGGAACAAAGGCAGGAAACTGGAGCTCCCTGCCTCGCTGGGCTGTAATTAGGTTAATGCTGGAACGTGATAAAAGTGTCCCAGTTGGCATGAGGGTCGGAAAAGGAGCCCTCCTGGGTGATGAGCCCTCCCTCCCGCCAACCTGTCCACAGCCAGGTGGCCCAGCCTACAGCACTCACCCTTCTTCCGGGCCTGGGCAATGACTTCAGCCGCGCTCTTGCTCATCACCTTGGTGATGTACAGAGGGCAGTTGGTCTGGTTGCCAATGGTGATGGAACGATTCACGGCTTCCGCCTCGACCTGCAGCAGAAGAGCGAGGTATAAGAATTCAGCCCACCCCAGAGCCCCCATCTTTCTCCTCTACCCACCAAGAGACTGACTGCTGTGTCCCCAAGGTTCTGCCCCAGGGGACACCCAGTGTCAATCAAAATAGGAATGGTTGCAGGGATAGGGCCTTATTCCACAAGCTGACAACATCAGCATCAACCAGGTCCATAAGAAACCCAGATTCCTGGCCCAGGGACCAGATTCCAAAACCCGGGGACCAGAATTCCAGGAGCAGGGCCCAGCCATGGGGGATACAACATGCTAATATTTGAGAACCACCACGTCCAGGGAACTGGCTGATCTCTATTCAGTACATTGGTTCAGCAGCTAGTCTTGAGCCAAGACATTGAGTACTGTGACTCTGGACTGGGCTTCTGTCAAAAGCTCATGAACGAAACCAGCATCACCCCCAAAACAATGCACCCTCACAGGGCTCAGGACAGGGACAGGCAGCAGCAGCTGTGAGCACCAAGGGCCTCTGTGTGCACACACCAACACGGCCGGCCAGCCGCTGCCTGGTACGCCCTTGAGCCCCAGAGGGGAGGACTGAGCTCATAAACTAACCCAGTATCCCCAAGTTGGCCAGGGGCTCGGGTTCCCCACTGGCTGTAACTGGTAAACCTGGCTCTGCTCATCGGCTGCCTCAGTGGACAGTATTTTAAAGATCCCCCGTGAATACCCATCAGGGAAGACTCCCCAGATGCAGTTTATCTTCAGGGCAATCAGCTATGTGGGTTTAAAATGGCAGGTAAAGCTGTGTCAATGCAGCCTCGAGAGGTCACAGGCTCCTTCCAGCAGCCTGCGGTGTGCACTCACCAAGGGGAGGGAAGGGGTGGGCTTGCTCCTCCTTGCCCTGCCCCCAACTCTCCCAGTGTAGTGCCTGGCTTGCAGCAGATGCTCGCTAATGTTTGCTGCACAAATAAATGACTTCACTCTATTAACAGTACTTAAAGCTGGGCATTCCTCAGAGCTGGTACTTTCGACCTGGAGTCGCTAACCCCGTATCCCCAAGTTGGCCTGGGGCTCAGGTTCCCCACTGGCTGTAACGGGTAAACTAATGGCGAGAAGTAAGACAGCTCCATTCACACGTGGCCGTCTGAGCACCACCTATGTGAAGAGGGCTGACTGGAGGTCCACAGGCAGGGCAAACGGCTCTTGAACATGCTCATGAAACACCCAAATGTTTTTAATTCCTGGCATAGCTGGAGAAGGGACCCACCCTCCCTCTCCAGCGCTTCACAAGTCCCCAGAGTGAAGTATGAAGAGGGCTCTGCCTCCGTCCTCAGCACTTCCCAGGGATGCCAGAAGCTACCCAATTCAATGTCCCACACAGACACTTCTGACGGGGAAGAGGCACTATCAAGGATTCCCTAATGAGGCTTTCTGACCGACCCCGCAGAGATCACATTTGCAAAGTAACATTCTGCAGAGGGGCCAGCCCTGAACTGTCCCAAGCAAACTAGCGAGTGCAATGGGTCTAATTAGGGGGACAAGGAGCCTTTAACCAGGGGCTCTACCCCTGGGGGACTGACTCCCACCAGGACCAGCCTTGGACAGAAGAATCCAGGTCCAGGGCTCTGTCTGGATCTGCATACCTGCTGGTGCTATGTGCTGTGTGTGAAGTGAGCTGGTCCCCACCCCTGCCCCAGCCAGCAAGAGGCTCAACTGAAACCTTCCCTCCTTGGAAGAGAAGTCAGTTAAACTCCACCTCTACCACGAGTTTTACCCTCCTTATGTGTGGGCTTCTGGTACATAACCATACACTGCTCCACACCATGCTGAAACAGTAGGATAGTTTAAAAGTAAAATCTCTGCCTTGTTATAGGGCTCTCGGGGACTTGGGAAGTCATCTATTCCCACCTTCTGCAAAGGAGACGACCTATCCAGAGACACACACACTGTCAGTACGCCACCTGCTCAACCGCACTGGCCCCCTGGGCTCCTGGCAGACACAGTGCATGACATTCTGAGAGGCCCAGCCGGAAGCTCCCCTCTCCATGAAGCATTCTTCACCTGCATCTGAGTGCCCATGCTCTTCCTAGTACCAGGGTCTCTGGGTTGCTCCTTGCTCCTAGCTCATCACATTCCGTCCTAGGTACTTGCTTCCTATCTGCCTCTTTGTCCCCAGCTCGTGAGTCCCTTCAGAAAGGACCATGTCTCTCTCATCTCTCTGCCCCCCAGAATCCTGCACAGCCCCAATCAGAACACCTGCTCAACAATGGAATATTACTCAGCCATAAAAGAGAATAAAATCATGGCATTTGCAGTTGGAGAAGAATTGCTAAGTGAAGTCAGCCAATCCCAAAAGAAAACAAATGGCGAATGTTTTCTCTGATATAAGGAGGCTGACTCATAGTGGGGTAGGGAGGGGGAGCATGGGAGGAATAGACGAACTCTGGATAGGGCAGAGGGGTGGGAGGGGAAGAGAGGGGGCAGGGGATTAGCAAGGATGGTGGAATGGGACGAACATCATTATCCAAAGTACATGTACGAAGACATGAATTGGTGTGAACACACTTCATATACAGAGATATAAAAAAAATTGTGTTATATACGTGGAATAAGAATTGTGATGCATTCTGTTGTCATGTATTTAAAAAAAATAAAAGCAATTTAAAAAATTAAATAAAAAAAAAAAGAAAGAACACATGCTCAGTCACCTCTCGCCCATTACAGACAGTGATCTCCAGAATTCTCTCCAATCTCCTCCATCTTCTCAGATAATGACCAGGGGAAACCCTACTGAGTGGTCTCACATGGTGGGTTGGGAAGAAAGACACGGCGGCAGGAAGGTGTTGGTAAGTTCAAACTCAGTTAACATCATGATGTGAGTGGCTGAAAGACCCTGAAACCGCGTGGAAACTGGACTGTGGTGTTAGCTGCTGCTTCCTAATGTGTTGGGGGCTCTCCCCAATGGGATGGGGTTGCTCAGAGCCACTCGGAATGTTTCCATGTTTTATTCCCTTTACCGCCCACGCAGGGGGTAGCTCACAACAGACCCCTCTTGGCAAACTGACGAAGGGAGAGGAGCTGCAGCTGGAGGAGTGTGGAGCTCTAACTCTACTGTGCCGCCCCTCAGGCCTCTAAGACTCCCTGTGTCCCCTCCTCATCTCGAAGGACTGTCACGGGGTGAAATTACTCAGGGGAAGCACCCCGGGCACAGTGCAGGTGCCTCCAGGTCAGATGAAAAGGAGTTGTGTCTCCAGAGGAGCCTTGCCAACTAGCTGCACCCGTACAACCAGAACAGCTTCCCCCTGCAGCTCTCCTTCCCAGTAAACCCAGGCAGGCCGTCTTCCTGTTTGCTGTGGGACAGCCCTAAAGCTCTGCTTCAGTAGTCCTGCCCCTTCACAGCCCTCTGGTCAAGCATCTTCCTTCGCCTGTTTCTGGAGGAGAACTCCTAATTTCAAGCCTCCATCTGCCCAGGTCCTTGGCGATTGCTCTTCCTCCTCCACACCTTCTGTTTTTCCACCAGTTCTTTCTGTAGAACATCTGTTTCTTTCTTTCTGAGAACATCTGTTCAGACTCCCTCATTGTTCTCTTGGCTCAGAGCTGCCAGACTCGGCCTTGGCTCAGGTCTGCCACAGCTTGACCTTGACCAAAATCTGAAGAGCATTTAAAGGCCAAAAATTCGACTTGGGAAGAAGAGATTGTCCGTCACCTACACCTACACGATTGTGAGCCCCCTTCCTGTTCCCAATCGTGACTCACTCATCCCAGCCAGGGCCCTGATTCTCGGCTGTGGCGCCAAACAGGATCCTGCTCTAAATTTTCCTTCCCCAGTTTTAAGGGTCTGTCCACCAAACTCTGCTGATCATGTTGTGCTCTGTGCAGGCTTACCACGGAAAGGATTACAACCCCCCAGAGACACAGGAGAGCTTGGCAATCTGCGTTCCTGTTTTGGTAACTGGCTGCTGGGTATAAACTACTAGGCGACAGGAAGATAATCAGGAGCTTCCCAAGGAAGGGCTTGGAAAACCAGAGAGGAGCACTCAGGCCACACAATCCCACGCTCTACCTCTGGGCTCTGTAGAACACTTCATTTTGCCTGTGTAGACATACAACGCACGCCTGCACACACATGTGAGCCATAGCTTCTCAGAGAGACCAGTCTGCACGACAAAAGCCCCGTTCTCAACTGACACGAAGAAGGCTCTGCATGCTCTGCACAGCACCCGAGGGACCTCAAGTCCCGTATCCCATCTGGGGGTGTTCACCTCCTCAGGCCGGCTCAGCACGTGTCCCTCAGGGCCTGTGATGCCCAGATCCAGGATCCTTTGCTGTTCCTGAAATGTGTAAAGAAAGCCAGGTGGTCAGGAAGCTGGCCTTCAGGTGTGACCCACAGAGACCTGGGACCAGGGTGACCCAAGCAAAATGTGAAATTGGCTCTGCTGATCACCCTGCCCTCGTCCCAAGACCTTATAAAGAAAAAGGTTCACTGACCTATACCCTGGCCTGTCTGACCAGCCTCTGCAAACCACTCAGCCTTCCCCTGGGAGGCTGAGAGCAATATGCTCCTGGTCCTCAGCCTCAGCCACAGTGTAAGATGCCCAGGCGTGACCAGGGAGCTTCCGAACCCCACCCAAGGCAGCTGCACTATGGTCCCAAGGGAAACAGCCTCCTTGAAACAGGGACTGGCTGGCAGGACGCTCATGCCTGCAGGGAGACTGCAGCGGAGTCCAGACCAGGAACACCAGGCCCTCTGATCTCCCTCCGTGGTGTTCAGCTACCCACGTCACCCTCCAGGAGAGGCAGAAACGATGCCGAAGAAAGCCCCCTACCTCTGCAATGATGTCGCCGTTTTCCGCGTGGACTTGGGCTATGGCACCAATATCCCGGATCACACTCAGTACTTCATAAATCTGAGAGAGAGGAAGGTGGGATCAGTCAAGGACTCTGCAATTTACAAAGCAGCACAAACTGAAAGGACACGGATGAGAGTGAGAAGCCAGGGCTAAAGCTCTGGGCTCACATTCTCCCCAAAGGCTGAATCACATCCGTAAATGACTCCACCAGCCAAGCCCCACAAAGCCAAGGATGTACGTATACTGGAGAATGCTTTCCCAGGGGGCAGCAGTGACCACGTGCCCACCAGCCCATTCAGAAGAGCTGACGCATACCTGGGAATCCGTTAGCTGGAAGCGATCTTTGAAAGCCATGTACACGAGGAAGGAGTTGACCCCTGGTGACAGACAAAATAGAGAGGGAGACGTGAGTTTTAATACACAAACCAAACCAAATAACCTGGAAGGGAATGAGAAAGTGATGCGACCACACATGTGTGTGGGGG